TCATGGATAGATTGGGATCTTTTCGGGTCAGTTGTATTCAAACATGAATTGAAAGCCTGGAAGAATCCCAAGTGGGATTGCTAGTTCCTGACTGGAAAGCTGCAAGAATACCAAAGAACGGAGGAGCTAAAGAATCTTTGAAGGTTTCGAAAATCGCGTGAGAGTCAGGATAAGAATAAACGGTCCCAGGTTTGTCATTTGGGTCTTTGGAAAACCAGAGCGGTTTCCAGACCTCATATCCGGACTAGTTGACAGGTAGATGGGAGCGACAACAAACAACTTTGCCGCATACAACTGCACCACACTTTGCCTTTTACCTGACTACATTCTGAGCCTTTCGCCAAACGTACACTGAGGATCAAACCAATCGATCACTTTGGTGAGGTTCTACCCACAGGACAACATCAGGTCACTAGGGGCAATCCTTACTTCGACGGAATCCCCACTTTTCATGATTCCCGTCAGCAATCAGCACACGTTGAACAAGTAGTTGAAATTCTGTCTCAATCGTAACATGACCTGTGTCTTCCATTGCTAAGGCGGAATCGAAATATGGTCGCTTCAACTACGAAAGAATCGGATAGAGATCGAAATCAACCGACTGAAAATAATTCACTCCGACACCTCGTTTGGCGTGATGCATGGAGAACTATTCAGCACCTGTGTCTTAATGGGTCCAGGTGCTTTTTTGGAGAGTTGAACCCGACATGTTCGACCAGGAACTCACAAGCCTGGAAATGCATTCAGACTCCCCTGTAACACGTATCAGCGCGAGTGGTTCTATTGACAGACGCTAGCAGATGACGCTCCGCGCCAAACATCTGTGGATCCGATCTTGTGTTGCCCTTAAAGCTAAACATATGTGAGAACACCGAACAGCCAGCCGTTACAGCTCCGATAACGGTACCAGGTCGCTGGAGAACAACCAGAGAACGGCCTCTAAAATGTTGGATCGCATGCACTTTTACGACTATTAGAAGAATGCTCTTATCGAGGTTGGATTTTGGCCAATCAGTTGATGATAAGTACCAGTTTATGTCGAGAAAGACCATTCCATATTGCACGTCATCTTGTACATTTTACCCCCGGCTTTTTCCGCAAAGAGGCCGAATCTTTTCGTTTACTGTTCCCGGACCATTCCTCCGGCAGTACATCGTGGCCCGTCGGCACTCGCCGACAGAGGTTCGACCATGGTATGGCATGGCTAATCTGCAAACCGAAAGCAGTTCAAATGTCCAAGTAACCGAAAATCAAGCGTGTGTCACGCTACATGACTGGCGGATCAATCGATTGTCACAACCAGGACAGTTACTGGGTCGTCGTTCGATGGGTCGGGCACACCAGTCAAATCGCTCAAGTGTGTACACGTTCGCTTGTTCAGACGGCACGGCCATTGGACATGCGCTGCTGATGAGCTCTAATAAGAGCGAAACTCGAGTCCAGTGCTTCCCTTTGGTGTGGACTCATCGGAATAATTACGCCAGAACAGGAACACGGTCGTTCAAACGAGAGGGGTGTGGCTATGAACAAACATACCTATCCCGCAAAACCTCAAAATTGTAATCGAAAGTCCCTACCTTTTTGCAGGCCGATATTCCTTACCTCACATTTTCGCTTTGTACTTGCGTGGCCTATCTAGTCCTGACTCGTTCTGTCGGTGTATCTACCCTTATGATGTTGTGAATGGCTGTGACTCTCGCGGTTCAGATGCTCATATGGGATTACTCGGTGAGTCGAATGGACCTACTGGGCGGTAAGGAGAACATCCAAGGCGTTCTTTCACTCCTCTCTCCTGGCACGGGCAACTAAGATTTCAGTAATAGCGTACAATCAATAACATGTGTTTTCAAGAACCCAAACTCAACCTTGTTTGGCTGCCTCCCGTTAGACTGTTTTCACCAAAGTACGACCATCGATCTTACTTTTTGGGTTCTCAGACTGACAGCGCTACCAATCATGATTTTGTTATTCTATGTGTATTCCCGCAATGGATAAACTGTACCCCTACCGTATTCGATGACCGCTGCGAGAAGGATTACCATCCTTGGTTAAGTCGATGAGATCTCCAAGAGTGTTTTGGTCAGCTTAAACGTTAGCATTTCGACGCTTGTACTCGTAAAAATATTGTTGGACAGTCAACACTCTTCTCTTCGCCTAATTTTATCTCCAGCCATATGGAATTCTCGCAGAGGTTCATCTGATTCCCCTATCGCCCGTTATCTCGTCAAACCTAACCAACAGTATGATACGCTCGTATCGATTCTTCTTGTTTAAGTTACTTTTTGAGAAATGCATCTGCGCAATTCACTTCTCAGATTGCGTAGAGATATTCTTGAATTGAGTTGAAAAAAGAAAACCACTAAATCCCCCTCAGATTGACAATCATAATTGGATAATGGCCGATGCGAGAACAATCTCCATATTGTTAAAACCTTGCGTTTTGCGTTGCTTTTCCAAAAAATAACACAAGATCAAAGGCAGAGTAGAATACGAACGAGAGGTTGTTCGGCCGTCGCGAATATTCAATTGTACGGTAACCCCTCGATCAAATTATGAACCCATCAGTAGTGTGTTTGTCAAAAAACAGTTTTACTTGTTAGAAGAATCCCGTCCTGAAGAAAAGAAGGTTCTTTGTATTGTTCATATATTATTTGATTATCTGTACAGTCACAGGCCGCGGCTAGTTGAGCACATGATCCCCGGAGTCATCTACTTCATCTTCGTCCGAAGAGGTGGGCTCCAAAGAGCTGACTGATTCCGTCTCTGTTACAAAAGAGATAAACATGCGTACGCATAGTCGTGTTGAGCTGTAGATAAATGTTTATCAGTATGACGCTACCATAAGGCCGTGATCACACGGATGACTAGATACTTGGGGTAGGTGTTATCAAAACGAATGATAACTCAAGGACTTGTCACTCCCCAAAAGATCGATGTACTTGATACGACCGACTTGACTGCCTGAAGCCGGTTAGTATTCAGAAGGGAAAACGTGTAATGTATTGGAGGCATGGCCAAGTTGGAACTAGCAAGTCGAACACAAAGTAAATGGATCAGAGAGAGCGTCTGTGGCTGCGGCCGTACATGAGTTACTAGACTCGAAACCTTTTGTGAGGCACATGTGAAAACGCACCTTTGACAGAAACTTATTGTGGGGGACATCCCTGAAAACGCGGCAGCTAAGTGTTTCCAATGAAGCAGTTCTGATCAAGATGCCCTTCAGGTTTTCACACGAAATTTCGGACACTTAATCAAAATGACTTCAACTACCTTGGTGATGTACGCTTTTCAGATTAGATCATCCGCAGTTTGCAGAGGGAATTAAGATGACACGACTAGAAACTGGATGGGGTGGAGTTATCGATTCAAATTGTGAATAATCCGTTTTTTCCAAAGGATCGTAACTGGAAGGGGTATACTGTTTGTTTGGATAACATCTTCTGTTTAGTTCAGTACAGGATATGTTTGAGATGGCTAAAGTGGTTAGAGCGCGAACTTACTGGCCAGAAGGTCCGTGGTTCGAACCCGAGCTCTGCCTCTCCACTTCCCCTGTCTATGCTTGGGTAACCTGGCAGTATATCAGCCCTCGTGCTTCCTAAGGGTTGCATGGCAGCTGGACGTTACAGCTGAACGATTTCTTTCATCTTTCTAGAACTAACGTGCTGCCAATCTTTGTGTAAACTGGTACGTCTCTGGCGGTGCCGTTATAGTATTGTCCTGCTGATAAATACACGTCTACATGCGCACACACACAAGAAGATAAATTGCGAAACACCACTTACCATTGCCTGGCGGAAGTTCATTGAGCAGCTGCGTCATTTCGTCCACAAGTTCTGAATCACCCACTTTTCCGGAGATCTTGAGATTGTAGTAAAGAGGGACTGATTTTTACGCACGAAAATATCAGGTGCACTGAGTCCACTTAAGTGAAGGGTAAAAGTGCTGTCGTCCCTGGACTAAATTATTACACCGAGTCATGTTGATGAAGCCCATACGGTCATCCGAACAAACCGTCACCCGGTGTAAACCAGAGTAGAGGAGTTCAAGTACAAAAGTCATGTTTAGTCAGTAAACCAACCACTTTTGCGGTGGTCGCGTATAACCGAAGTAGATCTGGATCACTCTCCTTCCACAGTTTCCGACCAACGACCGTCAGCAAGTAGTACACCTGGTAAACAGAGAAGCAGCAGTTTGGTTGGGCAATGTGAGAAAAACAATGCTGAACATTGTAGGGCATTTCATTTTTCCAGCTGAACTTACCAGAGATCGCAAAACAGTGCTACTCTACTTCACTTGAGAACTCGAAATACTCATCGCAACTGAAAAAAATCGTTCAGCTGTCGCACCCTTTCGGTGCCTAACTGCCATGTTACCCGAAGGAAGCACGAGGACTGGGGATACTGCCAATGCCAAAATCTAGACAGGGGAAGTCGAGAGGCAGATGTCGGATTCGAACTACGGACCTTCCGATCAGCATATTCGCGCCCACCCCCACAGCCGAATGGAACTATACAGCTATATCATCCTGGTTGGCAGTCATCAGTGAGAGGTATCTCAGGAAGTTATGTGGAGCCTGGAGAAATTTCGGACACTTAATCAAAATGACCTCAACTACCTTGGTGATGTACGCTTTTCAGATTAGATCATCCGCAGTTTGCAGAGGGAATTAAGATGACACGACTAGAAACTGGATGGGGTGGAGTTATCGATTCAAATTGTGAATAATCCGTTTTTTTCCAAAGGATCGTAACTGGAAGGGGTATACTGTTTGTTTGGATAACATCTTCTGTTTAGTTCAGTACAGGATATGTTTGAGATGGCTAAAGTGGTTAGAGCGCGAACTTACTGGCCAGAAGGTCCGTGGTTCGAACCCGAGCTCTGCCTCTCCACTTCCCCTGTCTATGCTTGGGTAACCTGGCAGTATATCAGCCCTCGTGCTTCCTAAGGGTTGCATGGCAGCTGGACGTTACAGCTGAACGATTTCTTTCATCTTTCTAGAACTAACGTGCTGCCAATCTTTGTGTAAACTGGTACGTCTCTGGCGGTGCCGTTATAGTATTGTCCTGCTGATAAATACACGTCTACATGCGCACACACACAAGAAGATAAATTGCGAAACACCACTTACCATTGCCTGGCGGAAGTTCATTGAGCAGCTGCGTCATTTCGTCCACAAGTTCTGAATCACCCACTTTTCCGGAGATCTTGAGATTGTAGTAAAGAGGGACTGATTTTTACGCACGAAAATATCAGGTGCACTGAGTCCACTTAAGTGAAGGGTAAAAGTGCTGTCGTCCCTGGACTAAATTATTACACCGAGTCATGTTGATGAAGCCCATACGGTCATCCGAACAAACCGTCACCCGGTGTAAACCAGAGTAGAGGAGTTCAAGTACAAAAGTCATGTTTAGTCAGTAAACCAACCACTTTTGCGGTGGTCGCGTATAACCGAAGTAGATCTGGATCACTCTCCTTCCACAGTTTCCGACCAACGACTGTCAGCAAGTAGTACACCTAGTGAACGGAGAAGCAGGAGTTTGCATGGGTAATGTGGGAACAAAAGTGTGGGGCTGGTCACTGTATGGGGTTTAATTTTTCACGCAGAACATACCAGAGATCGTAAGGCAGTACTGCTCCACTTCACCTGAGCACTCAAAATACTCATCGCAACTGAAAAAAAAACCGTTCAGCTGTGGCACCACTTCGGTGCCTAGCTGCCATGCCACCCGAAGGAAGCTGGGATACTGCCAGGTTGCCCAAGCCTAGACAGAGAAAGTCGAGAGGCAGAGGTCGGGTTCGAACCATGAACTTTCCGATTAGTGAATTCGCGCTCCAACCACTTGAGCCATCTCGTCCATTGCAAATGGGGGCACACCAATCGAGGTAACATCAGCGTGATTGAGGTTCGCAACCAAACTGCTTGGTTGAAAGAACTACTCAGTGAACACGAGGCAGAAACAGCCTTACTGAGACACTGTATGTTTCAGTAACCAACATTCGAGGTGCTGAAATATGTCCCCTGGCGGAATGAAAACATCCATGCGAACGAAAGAATATTTTTTGGCATCTTCTGGCACGGTCAAACGGAAGCTAACCAACAAATGAATGTTCGTAAAATCAAGGGGTATCAAGACATGAAGTACGAGGGTTTAGGATATTGCCAGGGTGCCCAAACCTAGACAGGGGAAGTCGAGAGGCGGATGTCCGATTCGAACCAAGGACCCTCCGGTCAGCAAATTTGCTCCCTAATCACTGACCAGCTCACCCCCAGAGCCGAGTGGAACTATACAACTATGTCATCACTGAGAGGTATCTCAGGAACTTATGTGGAGACTGCAGTTTAACACTATCCCAGGCTGCTACAACCGGCTGATCCCCTGTGAATTGTATCTGGAGAAGAGACCAGGTTCTTCAAGTCACGTGACTGCTTGTGGTCAATTCATTCGTCAGGAACAATCACCACTGAAACTTCAAGATAATTCGTAATTCGAGAAGGCATTATCCCTCGCTTGAAATCCGAAAGCCGTTCAGCCTAAGAACCCTTTCGGTGCCCAGCTACTGTGCCATCCGAAGGAAGCAGGAGGGCTTAGATGCTGTCAGACAGAAGCCGTTGAGATGCGCAGCAAGGTTCGAACCACGGAACCTTCGGTCAGTAAGTTCATGCCTTAACAATTGAGCCAACTAGGCTCCATCTGCTCGACTGATGACAAGATGCTTGTTGGTACATTGCCATGTTTGGTGAATAGATCAACAACCGGAGGATGCATCCCAGCCAGAAATAAATGGACACACTGAATGAAAAGAATCGTGTGCGCCGTTCACTAAAACGGGGCCGAAAACATTCGTAACTCCCAACCAGCTCACGTATGGTGACAACACGTACAATCCTGAAGACCAAAAATTACCTTAGTTGATAAGGAAGTAGCACGTGTAGTGTAGCACAAATGTGCCAGGTGTTCGTACGTGAACCGCCTGGTAGGTTAACAAGCATAGCAGGTCGAGAAAAAGCAAATGATCAGACCAACCTCCAAATTGCCCTCCTCTTGTTCAAGCATGGCTTCCAAAATTGTGGCACATTTCTACAAGATGAAGTGAAGGGGTGGGAATTTAGGAGGCTGAGAAAAAAAGAGTATTAAAGGACAGTGCAAAATGTCACTGAGCTTCTAAAAATACCAGATGCAGTCGGTCATCATTCTGAAGCGGATAAGGTCCTCGAGGAGGGGACAAAATGGACGGATCTAACCCTGCAGGAATTCTTTGTCGTATCTTACAGCGCCTCAAGTCATTTTTAAAAATAGCCGCTTTTATAAAGAGGCAGTATTGTGGGTCATGGCCAGGGATTCGCTATAATAATAATAATAATAATCGTTCAGCTGTAACACCCTTCCGGTGCCTAGCTGCCACACCACCCGGAGGAAGCACCAGGGCTGGGATACTGCCAGGTAGCCCAGGCCTAGACAGGGGAAGTCGAGTGGCAGAGGTCGGGTTCGAACCACGGACCTGCTGGTCAGTAAATTCGCGCTCTAACCACTTGGGCCATCTCGCCCCAGCGATCCGCTATAGGCTTCCCCTAATTGTTGGGTATAAAAGGAGAGGTCGCATGTAACTTTGGTTAACTGTTTTTAAACTGCCGGAACCGAGAATGCCTAACGATATTAGTAAGGTCACTGCTCTAGCCCATCAGCATCCCTCCGTTGGGTAACAAACTCGCGGAATTCATGAGACTTTCTCTCCAACCTAAAACGATATCCATCCCGTGAGGACGCAGTGTAAGGGAGATCCCGCTGGACTTATGGATTCAGGATTCTTGGGGACTGCTCAGTTAGACGTCTGATGTCGCGTGCACTGCAGACACACTACTGATCCAGCAGCGGGTTTCGCCTGATTTGGCTTGATCGATAACTGAGTGATGCACACATGCCACTATCATTTTGAGAGATGAAATGATGACACATCGACATTTTTCGCGTGTCGAGTAAGTATTATGGTGCATCTTTGCGGTTAAATGTTTCTTTGGTTCTTATTTGCCAGAATAAACTCACAGACTGATGACTACTACGCACGATCACAACATAACACCATTACATCTCAGAAGCGTATTTAACAAATTTTCTAGAATCAGAAGCGCACAAGTAAAACGATGTTTGAAACGCTCAGGGTCAGCTGGAAGTCCACAATCCTAGAGGAGGAAAAGTAGCACATCAAAGAAGCTCGCGATCGAGTATTTGGTTAGTTTTGGCGGGATCTTCGTTCACGGGAAGCAAAACTTTACCTCATAAGCGACACGGCACGCCAAACACATCCATACCCACACTGTGCACTAAGAAGTATGCACTTAGAAAACAGATAGAAACCACATACGGTCCGGTGGAAGTATGCCTTTAAAAGCAAGACAACTAGAACCATGAAGTTTAGGAGTTCTGTCTCAGAAGAAAATTTGGTCGAGGAAACAAGCTTTACAACACTGTTTTTAAATGCAGCACTACCAGAACCGGAGAAAAACACAATTAGTAGTCGCTGGAATCGAAGCGTCAACAGCCACAGTGGTAAGGACTTAGAACTATCCGTAGGTCATCTTGGTCGATTGATTTCATCAGCAATGCCGAGGCATCATGCCGCGGCATCAGTTCGCTTTCCTGGTCTGGACGACAGCTAACAACAGACGAAGCCCTCGAGTAGTTGGTTACTAGCTTATCGGATCATCTGAAACAGGAGGCAGTCTTTGTGTATAAGCGAGAGATTCAGTTGAATCTCCCGTGGAACCCAAATTGATTTGAAAATGAGTGTATTTATCGATTTGGGCTCAAGTAGAACATAAGGTTTACGGAAACTCAGGGACTGCGCCTAACTGATGAGCCCATGAAGGGCGAAACTGGTCGTCGGCTGTCCAAGAGTTTTCAGCAACCTTGTGAGTAGTCTCCTCTAAGAGAGTATTCCTGATGCACATCAGCGTTTCCAGACAGCTGATCTAGGTGCTAGATATCTCACAAGCTCATGATAGATGATGATAGATGATTCATGAAAGCAGCTGATGGAGCAAAGTAAGCAAACTGTAGTTTTGGTCGACCTATTCACTCGCCTCTGCAGTGTTCCAACTGGATCAGACGGATTTAAGACGACGCTAGTGGTGGGCGCTCTGGGATGTAGACGAGCATTCGCGGTATGGCAGTCGGTATGGTAGATGCTCCCTAAGTCTCAAGTGGGGTCTACAACACACGTGGATGAAGCAGCTTCACGGCATACCTACCGAACTGATTGAATGCGATTAGGCACGCACATGATAATAACACGTGACTGGGCTATCCAGTTATTGGCCTGTAATCTGCATTGTGTGAGTGGTTCGCAAGATATCCAGAGAAAATTAGTCCCTGAAGTGAGTGCAGGCCATGATAGAAGGGCAGGTGGAACGATAAATAAATCCGTATTTAAATATTGTAGCTTTGAATGTGTTTTTCATCACTAAAGTATACACATAACATAGCTCACCGTGACTACCAGCACGCGAAATCGCCCCCAACAAACCAAATGGCACATACGATTCGATCAGAATAGAAAGCCAAAGTAGTGCCAAACGAACAGATGAAAGTATCGGCTTAATGTATTGCGTGGTACATTTACAGGAATAACCGATAGAACATGCGACTGACGATGTGAGCAGGCCGACAGAAGTACTTTTCAACTATTTGTGTACTTCTTGGAACCCATGTCCCAAGCGCACGTACTACAAACAAAACATGAGTTTCGCGGACCGAGACTGTCCAGCAAAAAGACAGTCAAAGTGACTGCAGGGCCATTTGAGGACAGATCGAACCATGGCCATCGTGTTAGTAGTGGGAGGGGAATTTTTGACGGACATTCCTTTCTGTACGTGAAACTACTCTATGCTGAAAAGCCGAGAAGCACTGCGCAAGTGTTTCATCCTTAATGAGGATCAAACGTTGTGCACATATCACGAAGATTAAGGGGATGTCGAACCCACCGCGTCCCGACCAGTGGTTGAAGAATTGACGGTTGGGCGGTGAGGGGCTGATCAACCGTATGAATAGCTCCCACTTAGACAGGACATAGCTCCACTCATCCTGTAGTCACAGAATCCACATCGCACAGTTGCAAGTGTTGACGGCTGCCAAGATGGAAGCTTCAGTCGCCTTGTGAAATCATTTTTTCCCTAAACAGATTATGGACTGATGATAGTGTGAGGAAATTTGACGACCTTCAAAAGGGATTTCATCCCATAATTGTTCAGATTATTAGGCGGAAGGATGCGGTCTCAAAACTCCCTAGCGGAGTTTCGGGGAGGGCACACTGCAGATGATTCCTGAAAAGAATGAAACACCTGTACACTGACTCTCGGGTTTTTGTCATTGGACGACAGGAAGAAATCTGGCTATTCTAGTGTAAAAAGGCTAGACTACGATGTGTATAAACACAAAGTCCCGAAATCCCAGTTTTCCTTGAATCGACGCATTGCATACAAACAAACATGGCATGCATTCCACTCTGGCTGAGTGGAACTAAGGACTAACTACACCGAGTAGCCTCAACGGCCACTTGTACTGGGGTGAAAACGTCGCTTCTACTCTGAGAAAGACTGGTGTAAGAACTGCACTTTGGATGATACTTGTTATCATTTGATCATCCCAAGGACAACCCTAGAAAATACCAGATTCCTCATCATTGAGGAAGTGCATGGACAGGGTTGGTTGTGAAACAAGAAATGCACTCAATTCGTACATTTCCAATTCTATCATCAGTCGGCAGAGAGAGATCAACCCGGAAAGTGGTATACCTGTCAACTGTTGGAATGACCAGAACAAACGTCAACGTGGGTACGACAGGTAACTACCAAAAATACGGAGATGAAAGGGACACGCAAACTGTGCAAATTTACCTCTTCCAAATCTAATTTGGTCTCCTCAGTGTGTGCCACTGAATTGGAAGCATCGCTCGTTGCATTGCCCATCGGTTCGTCAGGCACCTCGGCGGATGTTGCTCTGGGAGCTTGTTCCTCAGCAAGGAACGTTTCGAGTTTTGTCCACCATATGTCCAGACAGCGTTGGACAGCATCCCGAGAAGCCTAGAGGATGATTTCAACATTTAAGCTCAGTTGAGGACAGTAAAACTGAAAACACCAGACGCTAAGTAAATGCTGCATATGACTGAGTAAAGTCAACCCATTCGGCTGTGACGTCATTCCGGTGTGAATACTAGGTGATCGCCATGGAAACTGGACTGAAATAACCGAAAAATGAGGCGCCCGATAGAACCAAAATCACCCGACTTGGGCCTCGTACCATCACCCTGATCTATCTTGAGTTTGGCGAAAACGATTCCGACTGAAGCGTAATATTCACTAATGGACGATTTGGTGAATAATCCAGAATAACAATCACAAGAGCAAATAAGTACACCCTTCTCAAATAGCCAATCGCAACCAAACGGTTGGTAGTATCCAAATGTTAAATTATGAGTCGAAAAACGACAAGAGTCAACACCAGTCGAACAGACTGGATGGTTGATAGCATGAGGAGATTCAAAAATTCGTCCGGCTGTAAAACCCTTCCAGTGCCTGGCCTGCCATGCTACCAGAAGGAAGCACGAAGGCTGGAATACCGCTAGGTCTCCAAAGTTTAGATAGGGGAAGTCGAGATGCACAGGTCGGATTCGAACCACGGACATTCCGGTCAGTGGATTTGCGCACTAACACTTGAGCACATGAGGAGATCCATGAACTGCCTAACTGTGTCCAGTGAGTGAAGTCAATCTTTAGCGAAAAGCCAAGAAACGGTGTACAGCTGTTTCATCGGCAGATATGGGACACGTTCCTGTGAGTCAGCTGTGACCGTATAGAAGTTGGCTGCTGGTGCCGGACTGAGGATGAATAACGGGGGTGAAAGTTTTTTTCTTGTTGGATGGCTTTGGTTTCCCCATGTGGATCCCCGCAATGAAACGAATGACGGAAACATTTCCATATTAAAATGACAATATGACTAGCTAACTTAACTGTGACCCCGCTGTGCACATCGGGACTGTCGAACCAAGTAGCGAACACCCTACAGAAAAAACGTCGAGAATAAACAAAGCCACTGGCAAGCATCCGAACATTACCGCTGGAGATTGAATGCGATCAGATTCGAGCCCATTCCCAAACTCGTCTAACGTAACGCGGGTGAAATTTTTATTCAGGTGGGTAGTATCCTGTCCGATTTCGAATAGGCACAAATCGCACAATGTTTCCTCCCTGATGGGGAGTAATAAGTAGTAATAATCGTCTAGCTGTATCATCGTTTCGGTGCTAACTGTCATGCCACCCGAAGGAAGCACGGGAAGGACACTACCAGGTTGCCCAAGTCTGGACAGGGGAGTAGACAGCCAGAGGTCTGGTTCGAACCACGGCTCGTTTGGCTAG